CGAGTTAGTTTTAGTTTGTGATATACGCACATCAAGAGGTCTGTGGCCTAAGGGTGTTGTGGAGAAAGTTATCAAGAGCAAAAGCCAACTGGTTCGACAAGCACTGGTGAGGACACGCAAAGGCATATTGCGAAGAGACGTCAGACAGCTGTGCCTACTAGAAGCATACCAGGAAGAAGAGAATGATGCCGTGGAAGCCATCGTCCGGGATAGGAAACCGCCGGGGGAGTGTAAAGTCCAAAAGGAACTTCAATGTATCCCCCAAACCGGATTGCTTATATGAGGACACGGTATCTCATTTCCCTGATTATCTTGCACATTTACACTGCTTTACTGTGTGTGTATTTATTTCTTACACTCCATCACTGACACATCCTTGAGGTTTCAAGGTCATTCTTATTATTATGTTACTGTGACACTGCCCCAATACTCGATCCGACCCACGCTGGACAGTTTCTGCCCACTTGCATTACGATTGCGAAACCTATTCGTAAGTCATGTACTGTATTTATTATGCCTTATAGAACCACGGTTACAGGATAATTCGTTTTCTTCTTCTGCCCAGACCGTGCGTTAAGTCTAGGTTTATCTGTTCGTAGTGTCTAGTTTAGTTTCGTACGACGTACTTAGTTTAGGCTTAGTATCGTGGGTACAATGCCTATGACTGAATTTCTTGACCAAAGCTTATCTGAAGACGAGTTTTGCAGAAGAGGTCCAGACCACTTCTAACCTAATACTGAACAACAGTACCTCTCGATAGCTAAGATACATGGGTACTGAGCTTCCGCCAGCTCTAACTTCGGAAAGAAACAATTCACTTTTTATGTATGCAAAATGCAAGTAGAACAAGTGGCGTATGTGCGGCGCAGTAGCTGAGGCGTTTTCCACTTCTAGCTAAGGTGTATAATGGTGAGGTGGAGCATTGGAAAAAATTCGGCAAGAAATTTGATAGACACAAAATTAGTAGCGCACGATGAATGACAGCAGAAAAACTGTATTGGATTCAGGTTGTGCAAGCATGCAACAGCTTTGGGTAAAAAAACACGACATAGCGCATGAAACGGCGTAACAGCGATCATGGATGGGCAATTATTTCTAGTGCTCGTAAACTAAATCTGCTGACATATCTGTCACGAAGTACATAAACAATAAGAAACCATTACAAACTGCGAGTAAAGCATCGACAACAGGTTCCGAAAACAAAAGAGCGTTGCGCGAAAAACAGCCAGGCAACTGGTTCTATACTGAATGCTACTAGGCTTCGAAACTGGACTCGTCAAAACAAGCAAATGGGAAACAAAGAGGAAGCCGAACGGATTTGGACATAGGTGCCCTCACACTCGTCGGCTTGGAAAAATTTGGAAGAGTGGAAATAACTAAGAAGGAAATCAGAGAATGTTAAAAGTCAAACAAATGTTTAGCGAATGCAGGAATAATCAAGTGAATGGAGTGGTAGTTGGAAGCAGGAGATCGAGTGCGAGACCACCGACTTGTCGACGGGCGTTGTCGAACTCGAAGCATTACTGAAGAACAGTGCAATCTCCAGTGTGATCCAGCACTGCTATCACCAGTTCAACTCCGGCTGTCAGGTGCAGTGCCGATGAACGACATGTATTGGGGAAAGCAGTCGGCAGACGCTCAAAGAACACAACCTAACTAGCGTATGAGGTAGGGCGAGAGAAACGGCTCTCCACAATGTTCCATTCAGTCCTTCGATTTGCCCATTAGCTTATGGATGACATGAGGTTGTCCGACTTGTTGCTATTCCTTCGCAATCAAGTCGCGCAGTTCACGCTGGTATACAAAACATCGAAAAGAGCTGACAGAAGCAGTTTATTACAGTGGGACAGGTCAAGTTGGAGAAAGCAAAAGCGAAGGAAAAAGGAGGAAACTCATGAAAATAGTTAATAGCACTTTCGAAACGTTCAAACGGCTGAATTGCTTTTACCAACTGGCCCAAAGAGGGTTGAAGAAACCTCGGTTTCAAGTCATAACAAACGGCACCATACAAAATCATGGATTTGAGTTCAGCCACAGAACACAGCAGGATTTGGCGTGGAGGAAATGAACAGTGCGAGTTATGCCTGGGTGATACCGAGAATAAGGTTTTTTAAGGGTCGGACTCTCATACGAGATGCCGCAGCAGGTACGTGAGTGCGTCGGCTCCATGAATGAATTTACCGGGTCGGTATATAGCATTGTAGTGAAAGGTCGCAAGTTCAAGTCGCCAGCGCTGTATTTTGTCATTTTTAATTTGCTTCTGATTCATACTGTTATACATGAAAACCACAGAACGCTGATCTGTGACTAGACAGAAGTGATTACCAAGCAGTGGGTTTGCATTTTCGCATTGCCCCAACGATTGCGTAGGCTTCTTTTTCCACCGAGGAATGACGCTCCTCAATAGAAGATAATATGCGAAAAAAGAAAGCTATTGGTCATCCGTCTTGTTTTAAGATAACTGAGACAGCTACACCAGAAGCACCAGTTTCAACCACTAACGGACTTTTGGACGGATGATGATTTGGGAACTTATGTGTTGTGAACAAGTAGGCCAATTTTGTCAGAGAACTGTGGAATCCATTGGGAGTAGTAAGTGTTGAGCCTTGATTTCGGTGGGATGAGGTAATTCTTGAAAAGACTTTAATCGCTCGGGGTTGGGCCTTTCGAAAGTTCATACCCTAAAAGTTTGACCTCTTTGACACTGAAGACCCTTTTTGTGCCACCGAAAGTGATGTATTTTGAAGCGACATTCATAAAGCGGTCTAAACTGTCGATGTTCAGTAGGGTTCTTTCCACAGATCACGACGTTGTCTACGTAAGCAAATGAATCGAAAAATTTTCTTTGGAGATTATTTCGTCCATAGCTTTCTTTAGAAGCAAGACATGCTACTGGTTACTCCAAAAGATATGCGAAAAAGTTGATAAACGTTGCTACAGGCCTCAAAAGCCGTGTATGGACATTCTTCAGGTTCGATAGCATTTAAAAGTACGGACATTTTAAGTCTGAGGTACTGAATTTTTGCAATGTAGGGATTTGCTGGATCAGTTCGTATAATTTAAGAAGAGGATACGAAGCAAGGTGCGTAAACTGGTTTATCCTTCGACTGTAAGCTACGAGAATTCGCCGTTTGTCTTTCGTTGGTAGTGACCAGTATCTGAGATATCTATTGTGAAAAAATGGCTCGATGATGTCTGCCTGTAGGTGACACCTTATTACGAAGTGAATGAAAGCATCGTCTTCGGGATTGGATTGTGTCGACTTTGTCGCTATTGGCTTGAACTCGGGTGCGAGGTTACGGGAAACCGTAAACACAGGGGTGGTTTTCTGCCACCGAAGGTAATCTCCAGTTTCTCGTGTGATTGAAGAAAATCGTGTCCAAGTAGGACCTCTGAACACAGAGTATGTAACGCAGAAAGTCTGAGGTTGTGGTGGACGTTTCCTTTATACATAATTCAAGTTGAAACGCCAACCTGTACACATCTGCAGTTAGGTTGAAGTCAGGGATATGCGAGTGCGGGACGGATTAATCTTCCAGTTTGAAGTCTGAGCAACAACAACAGAGACATAACTTTCGGAACTGTAGGTATCAAAAATCATTTACAGTTAAGAACCATTGGTCTGTATCCTGATGACAGCCCGCATTAAAAAATCAGGAGCAGATGGATTGTTGAGTGGGGAATCAGTGACATTGCATGAGAAGTAATCTTATTGATTCGTTAGATAGACAAACTTAACTGAAGCATCCATTCTACCCACAACTCGTGCAAACTGCTTGCCGAGTCGGACATCTGGCCTGTGGATATCGAGTAAAATCGCAAGTAAAACTGTTCTGTAGAAGCAAGGGTAACGTATGGTGATGATGATGGAGGTTTGGCAATTGACTCGGATCAGTTGAACACCGAAGCCCATCATTGGGAAACTACGGCAGTTTGGCGAGACTGTGTTAGCGTGCCATTTTCAGGGACCTCGATAAATCGAATGCAGTTTGAAAATTTGACGCCCTGTGTTACAGTAATCGTTGTTGTATCTGAGGTGAAAGTATCCCTGTTATGAAACCGTCGCGAATCGCGCCATCAGGGCTTTGTTCCGTGCTGACTACCTTGAAGTTGCAGTCCTTAGTGTGATGGTTCCTGAAAGCTGGGGTGAACCAAATAGCCTGCCTCAATGCGGTCGCTCGAGCGGACGATTGGGTTTTTGAATATACAGCTTGTTGTAGTTTGCCTCAGAGTTGCGAATAGAACGTTTGTGCGCAGAGTGGTGGGAGCTCTTTCTTTTGACGCGGCTGGGGAACCCAGGCACAAAACACTTAGCAAGGACTTTCAGCCTATGAGTGCACTGGTCCAAGTTAGATCCGTTTTCTTGTTTGCACATAGCTAAAATGTGGCGTGCGAAAACTTCATTTTTTGGACACGAGATATACGCGTCCGTGTCTGTATAGCTTCGCGGAAGTTACTGCTTTCGGTAATATACTCGAAGATTGATGGGGTTAAGTAGTTCACTAGGATTTTTCACTTATCTGGATTGTGTATTTCAGTAGACACAAAAAATACCAGTGAACCCATTGATTTTTGGCATCTTGAGAATTGGGATCAGTTTCAATACGCTCGGTGGAAATCGATTCACAGATGAATAAATTGTCATATAACGGAGCAGTCAGAGACAGACCAACGAGTGAGGAATCAAAACATGGGAAATCAGGCTGGCTAGCCGAACAACCTCATGGTGCCAGCTGGGTGGTTCGGGTATAACCCGTTCCAGCAAATAGTTCGGCGGCAGTGTTCCAAGACGTGGTTGGTTTTCCCCTGGCAAGCATTCTTCTTATAAAAAGCCGTTTATCAACACTGTGACGTGGCGAATATGACTCCCCACAAACTAAAGTCACTACCCTGTGAATATATGGATAATTACATCCAATCCAAGGACATCATCTATTCTTACATAGCTGATGCTGTCGAACAGTCACAAATACAACGGCAGTTACAAACATAAGCTACACGTATGTGCAGTTACACACAGCAATGCATACATTCACTGTTATGACAAGCATATTGTACTCTTGTACATTTTGTTCACACTTTATTATAATAACATGACCATGCCTGCAAAGGCGTGCCTCACGCTGCCGGGAACAAAAGTTTATTGTGTAGAAATCGGATAAGGGAGGTGTATTGGCAATGACAAACACGCAAAAAGGAATAATATCACGACTGTGCATTCAACAAAAGGCGTAATGTGATAAAAACAAGAAATGTTAAGTGTACTATGGGAATAGTATCTTGTGCCACAGATGTAGAGGCAGTAAATAACTAATGGTCATGTATATATGATAACTGAGTAAATAATCTACTCAGCAGCATAAGGACAATTAATCCTTGGAAAACCCTGTTTGTAATATTTCCTGCTTTGTGGTTCAGCTAGAAAGTCACTTGGGATGCTCCAGGAGTAGTCCGTCATCATGTGTCAGTCCCACCTGCATTACACATCTTTATCATCACCTTAATGTCCTCATGGAACCTTTCACCTGGTTCTTCTCCGAAATCACCAAGATTATCCGGGAATCTGTCTAAGTGATAATAGAGAAAATGTAACCGTTATGCTAATGTTACAACGCACATACAGACGACCGACAATGGTGGTTTTCCTTGACTGGAAAGTCGTCTTCGACTGTACTGACCGCTCCAGGTTGTGGTACTGCCTATTTATGAAGGGCGTGTCGGTTAACTTCCTTTCCATTATGCACTCTTTCTACCATAACTCCCGAGACTGGGTAATGAGAAAACTGTCTCTAGAGTTCTCCACGACAAGTGGGGTTCGCCAGGGTCGTCCTATATTTAGTTTCCAACATGTGATAGAAATGATCATGAATGACTCCGCTTTTTCAGACTACAAGAGTGAAAGTTCTGCAAGGTAATCGACTGAAATAGCCTGAAGTGTGCGAATGCAGTGCCTATGCGAACACTACTAGATAGACTGACGCGTAGCACTGCACGCTTCGGCATGCGCTTTGCACGTCCAAAGTACGATGTGCTGCTGCAAGACTGGAACGACACATTTCTGGTTCTGGCTATCACCGAAACGCCGCTGGAAATGGTTGATCGGTTCACTTACCTTGGTAGTATTGTCACCTCTGATGTTCACATCACAGAGAGTTACTTCGCGTATCAGCAAGGCCCGTGTGGCATTCCAGAGACTTAACGATCTATGGAGACGGCGGGATATCAGCCTGTCAGTGAAAGATAGGGTGTATAACCCTGCGGTAAGGCCGGCCTTACCGTCTGGTTAAGAGACCTGGTCAGTTCGCTGAGAAGACATTAAACGCTTGGCAGTGTTTGACCACCAGTGCTTGCGGAGTATTGCTAACGTCTGTTGGGAACAGAGTGAGCAATGCTGAGGTCCGCCAGTTGGTTTTCGGCAAGAAGCCTTCTGATTCCTCCTTCGAGTGTTCACTGAATCTTATTCGGTTACGTCGGCTAGGCCATGTTCTTCGTATGCCAGTTGACCGGTTTCTTGGCGTGCACTATGCGCCGTGGATGCATCAAGTTGGGCGAAACTTCAAGGTGGCCAGTCTATGACGTGGCACAGAGGCTTGAAGAAACTGACTGAGAGATTTGGTTAAATTGGTGCGTTCCGTCTTCATGGATGGGGGCCTCGGGATGGTAAATACTAATGGTTGGATACCGTGTCAAACATGGCGTAGTCACGCAGTCAGTGGCGTTTCTTCATTCGGTTTCTTGCATCTGGTTGTTAATTTCCGTTCCATTCTGATTAATTTAGTGCACTTCCTCCTCGCTTCCATTTTCTTTACATGCTATTTGTATTCAACCCCAGTATCTTGACGTTGTTTTTTATTATGGGTCTTACGATTAAAGTCGTGGCAACTGGATCCACCGCACCTTGGTGCTCGGATCATAACTGCTCAGCTGAACTGTAATGATGATACACTCGAAGGTTTCAACTTTCGCAACATCTTCGCTACCGATTTTTCATAACTACTTGCTTTATTGTTACTCAAGTAGTTCTGGACAACGGAGACAAAACCAAATCGAGAAGATGCTTCAACACTGAATGGAAGGTCATTGGGAGTACAAGTCGTGTGATTGGATTGCGACGCGCAATCTCAATGTAGATCGCGATACACATTGAAGTGAACCTTGGTCAGTGCAATCACCGGGACCGTAGCCGAAGCAGATGGAAACTGGGTGCTGCCCGCCCAAAACACAGCACAATCACGACGCGTTTCGATATAATTTTATCTCATCAGGTGGAGACAGCAGGCCCCGAACCCGCGACCATTGGAATAGTAGCCGAAACCTCTATTGCTTTGGCTACCGAGTCACGAGACTAACTTATATCGAAACACGTCGTGGTTGTGCAGCGTTTTCGGGTGGGTAACACCCAATTTCCATCTGTTTCAAACACCGTTCATACATAGAAAATTTTGAGCACAGATAAGTTGTCAAATTTGAAGACGATCGAGGATGCCAAGTTTCAGTTTCTCCACATTGAGTTCAATGAATGATTCACAAATGTGCTTGAAATGAACACCATCTTTGTTCAGTGCTTTGGCAAATTGCTGCATCAGTCCCAACTTTATTGGAAGTGATGGTAGAACAATATTTTCTCCGTCAACCAAACCGTCTTGATGACTTTTGCTGCGCCTACATGCATGATTTCTTTGGTACGCCAAGTCACTTTCTCCCAACTACATTGTGTAGCCATGCTATCCAGAAGCACATGAAGTAAGGATACCTTGTGTATCCCCTTTGCTGTCCAGACAAGAAGTTCACCATCTTTACATCCACACAACCAACCCAAATATGATGGTTACAGCATAATTTTACCAAACCCCTTTTCATATTTTCACAGTTTTCTAAGTTGATTTGAGCCAGCAACTGACACAGATGCATAGTGGTTTCCGACGTGCAATGAGACACACTTCAAAATGCTGCTGCAGCTGGCCATAAAATGTCTCCAGTCCCTCGGTTGATATATCGGTAATCCCAGTACCAGAAGTCCAGCAATATAATTGCAGTTGGTAAGGTCTTCGTTTTTAGTGAAGAACGGCAGAATTGTCTTTTCTCTTGTGCGATAAGCTGTTATTTTGATTTCCGCAGCAATCAATTTTTTGAGCCCGAATGCTAACGAATAAGATCCTCGTTTTGTTAAGCCGAGGTCTCATGTAAGATCGTTTAGTTCTTCTTGTGAAAGGTGTGGAAGAACTTCATTCATATTTACTGCCACTGCTATCACCTTTACTACAGTAAGGATTTTTGTCGTACAGTTCTTCAATATCGGAAAATGAATGCGCCGTGGGGCACAAGTCGCCTAGCTGATTCCAAATAAGGATACAACTGTTTAGGCTTCTTGTATCGATTGAAGCTTTTCAAGTTAACAGCACATACATAACAATGATTGGGATGGCATAGCGGTTCTCTCCACCCCATAGGCACACTAAAACGCACAAATGCACCAGTCATCCACTTTCGAAGACACAGGTTTTGCAAAGCTTATGAAGAGTCATTGACTTTCCTTGAGCTCCAAGTTTTACACCAAAGCAAGCGCAACATGCTTGAGTGAAGAAGAGGGTGATTTCTTTTCTTTTTTTTGCGACAATGTATTTGTCGCAAATGTAGCAGAACGCGTCGGGATCACTCAAGCAACTACGTCGAAAAAACCTATATCGCTGAGAAAAAACGAGCGGCACTTTAAATAATTATTCAGGATTGTTATTATTAAATAATTAACAATTAATTTACTATTATAGCCCGAAAACTAGAGCCAATTAAGGAGTGGTTTTCATATTTTGAATCGGCACCACCGAAATATGACAAATTCGTTGAAATATCCTCGACACAAGGAAAAATATTTTTGTTGGCCAGTATTATTGCTACAAAGCTGTAAGTCGCCAGGTGTTGCTCTAGGGAGTAGAAACATCAAGGATGTGTATTTAGACAAGAGAAAGGTAGTAATCGGAAATTCATGATTGCAAGGGAATGTACGTATCTGGCCCGATGGTGTCAACATAGTTGGTCAAAACAGTATCTGAAGCCCCTATCCTACGTAGTGATACCGTGGGGGTCAGAAGTACCTCTGCACTCAGTCCACAGAGTCTAGTTGCCAATGCCCAATCCATTTAATATGAAACTTTTCCTCTAGCTCCTCGTCGTTCTATTCTGCGTAGCAGCTCAAGTCTCCGGCACCGGAGTGCCGGGACTGCACTTGTTTTACTAAACCTTCATAGTTGTTGGGACCACCGAATAAATAATCCTGATGTCCGCTAGTTGACGCTAAGCAATAAAACCTCTGGCACCACAAGGGATTCCGTGATGAAAGTCAACTTGCGCTAGATAAATTATATTCTTTGGAGGACCGTTGAGCACATTCCTGGAATCATGAAGTTAATCGGTACAGCAAGTGACCGAGCGTAATCCCAGAGTGGAGCAGTGGTACAGCAAACTAGAGGGAAAAAGGTGATCGAAAAATTGCTTGCAGTCTTTCTGGGTGCCTCTGTCACGTTTTTTTGTTTGCCATGTGCACAATACCTGTGGTGTTACTCACCTATAGCTAACGCGTATAATGATGATGGTGATGTAAGGGTAACCGGGTCTACGATGTTCAAGAGTCTTGGGATATAATTGAACAAACATTCAAGAAGTAGTAAGTAACGATCAACCAGTTTTTTCACTTAACAGAGACAAGGGTAAATGAAACACCAAGCAATGTATGCTACTTGCGTAACGATTATCAGAACAGGTGTTTAGTTAACCCAATTTTTGAGCAATGGCTAGTGCCTGCATATTGCATGACGACGTAGGGAAAAATCACACAACCAGCTAAACATAGTGTAAGTCGCGCGAGTATGGTGAACAAAGAAGACAACAAAGATGACCTACTATGTCAACTAGAAGATTCAACGGATGAATTAGAGCCAAAAAGTGCAGATACGGAAAGCGAAAGGACAGCGTTTAATCAGAATAAGAAATAAGAATGAAAGACCAATTACTACTTAAGAAGTATGACGTGTGTATGTTGATTGTAAAACGGCCATAACAAAAACAACAGCTAGTTGCATTGTGTTCCTAGAATCTTGATCTTACACGCGCCACGGGTTTAGGATTGAAAAAGGATAAGTTGACAAAAAAACAAAAGCAAACATTTTGAAATTTTTTTAAGGCCACTTACCTACGATCTGTTTTCGCAAGGCCATGGTTCCACAAAAGCGTTGGCGCAGATTCCTGAAATTGGGAATCCTCCATCAGCAGATTGAGTGAATCCGGTTCATCAACTCCCAATACTATTTCGGTCGACAGTTTGGACACATTAGGAAATTCTGGAGATCTGGGAGAAGTAGGTACGCAGTCCAAATCAGGATCGGACGCAAACTTCTCATTGCCTATTGGAAATTCATGAACGGAACCCTCGTTAACGAGAGAACCAGGTGAGCGACTTTCGTTCGGTCCTTCGTTCTGAGGTAATGGAACAGAAGTAGGAGCGTCACTGTTCTGAAATGATGTGGGACCAGCTCCGAACCCTGAGTAAGTCACCATGGAAAGCACATGATGAGTAAGTGGCGAGCCAGTGAAGTCCAGTTTCTCTCCAAAAACAGCTATACGTTCAGTAGTTTCCGTGTGGGAATCAAGAGGAGATACAAGAGCATCACCATCAGTTTCACACAGTTGTTTTGAATGTTCAAGTCCAGCAGTTGATGATGGATGCAGCGGAGGCCCGGAAGTCTGGTTAAATCCAGTCAGTACGTAGCGATCGGGTTGGGTTTGACGGGTGGAATCCTTCGAGGTACAGATGGAAATCTCCTCGGCGATATACGATGCCTTCCAACTTGATTCGTCGTGGCTTGGGTCAACAACGTTGCCGCCATGCGTAGAAGTCGGATGTGAAGAGTTCAAATTTACCGCGTCCCCACTAAGAACACTTAAATTAGTAGCAAGTGGAGGGTTGTCTTCGGTGATATTTGACTTCGAAAGAGTTGATTGGTTAAGATATTGAACACCACGATTGCTGGAAGGATGTAAGTTCATGTGAGTCCCTTGAATCAAAGTGATTTCTTTTTCCGGATACGCTAACCGCATACCAAGTGGCGTTTCGAGGATGGAAATCTCATTTGCTAACGAGATTAATGAAGAATCTGAAGACTCTTGAAAAAGTGAGTGATGAGATCTAATACTGGGCGCAGAGTTTCCAATTTCTGTAGGAAACATATGCCAGTCATTAAATGCACCTATTTCAGTAGTTGTGCTTGCGAGATTGGAAACACACTTACCTTCGTGCACATCGGGTAACAGAGAACGGGCCTTCAACAACGCTTCACTCTTGGGAGACGAAATTCGCCTACCACCAGCGGTCACAAATGCAGGCATCCTGGTGGTGGAAGCAGGTCCAATAGCCACCTGAGGTGCAGAGAACAGTGGGGTTTCGGCTATGCTGACGTGCAAACCAGCATTTGCCTCTGTTGAAGCGGTGACACATTCATCCTCGAGCACATCGGAGAACAGAGAACGAGCCTTCAACAACGCTTCACTCTTGGGAGACGAAATTCGCCTACCACCAGCGGTCACAAATGCAGGCATCCTGGTGGTGGAAGCAGGTCCAATAGCCACCTGAGGTGCAGAGAACAGTGGGGTTTCGGCTATGCTGACGTGCAAACCAGCATTTGCCTCTGTTGAAGCGGTGACACATTCATCCTCGAGCACATCGGAGAACAGAGAACGAGCCTTCAACAACGCTTCACTCTTGGGAGACGAAATTCGCCTACCACCAGCGGTCACAAATGCAGGCATCCCGGTGGCGGAAGCAGGTCCAATAGCCGCCTGAGGTGCAGAGAACAGTGCGGTTTCGGCCACGCTGACGTGCAAATCAGCATTTGCCTCTGTTGAAGAGATGGCACATTCATCCTTGAGCACATCGGAGAACAGAGAACGGGCCTTCAACAACGCTTCACTCTTGGGAGGCGAAATTCGCCTACCACCAGCGGTCACAAATGCAGGCATCCCGGTGGCGGAAGCAGGTCCAATAGCCGCCTGAGGTGCAGAGAACAGTGGGGTTTCGGCTACGCTGACGTGCAAATCAGCATTTGCCTCTGTTGAAGAGGTGGCACATTCATCCTCGAGCACATCGGAGAACAGAGAACGGGCCTTCAACAACGCTTCACTCTTGGGAGGCGAAATTCGCCTACCACCAGCGGTCACAAATGCAGGCATCCCGGTGGCGGAAGCAGGTCCAATAGCCGCCTGAGGTGCAGAGAACAGTGCGGTTTCGGCCACGCTGACGTGCAAATCAGCATTTGCCTCTGTTGAAGAGGTGGCACATTCATCCTCGAGCACATCGGAGAACAGAGAACGGGCCTTCAACAACGCTTCACTCTTGGGAGGCGAAATTCGCCTACCACCAGCGGTCACAAATGCAGGCATCCCGGTGGCGGAAGCAGGTCCAATAGCCGCCTGAGGTGCAGAGAACAGTGCGGTTTCGGCCACGCTGACGTGCAAATCAGCATTTGCCTCTGTTGAAGAGGTGGCACATTCATCCTCGAGCACATCGGAGAACAGAGAACGGGCCTTCAACAACGCTTCGCTCTTGGGAGACGAAATTCGTCTACCACCAGCGGTCACAAATGCGGGCACCCTTGTGGCTGAAGCACACTCAAAATCCGCTTGAAGTGCACAGGGTCGTGCAGATGCGATGATGCAGCTGTCCAAAACGGTGGTAGTAGAAATTTCATTAAGTGGAGTAGCTGCAGATAAAGAGCTAATTAGCTTGGGACAAGAAGTCTGCGAAGACTCAGCTACGGATGGGATATGAGGGCCGGTGGGGTTAAAAGGGTGGTCGTCAGTGAAATCAAGAAGCTGAGTAAGATTGAACTGCGACATGCTCTCTTCAAACTCTTGAGTTAATCTGAAACAAGTATGCACGTTGTCATCTGGTAAGTGTGTCGAATGAAGTTGGGTTGACAGGCAAGATTCAGGTTGAAGCTCAGTCAATATCTGTTCTTTCGAGGGATACACGAAGTGGGTGGATTGAGGTTCTCGGGTTACATTGGAAGTGCAGTCGGAGCTACACGAATTAGACACAATAGGATAATCTGATTCAGGCTCAGTTGCAAAAGGTGATCTCGGAGCGATTTGTGATGAGAAAAGCTTGATAGGCGAAGAACTGAGCAGAAACAATGGTTGAACGGGATGTGACTTCTCAGCTAATAGAGGAAATAAAATAAGTTATGCTAGAAATACCTTCGGTAGGAAATCCCTTAGGGAAAGAGTCAATGTTGATGGGGGCCATCTGCTCCACAGCACGCAGAAAAAAGGACTCAATTTGCGAATGAAATTCATCCATTTAATTGAAAGAGCACAGGACTCCAAGATGAGGGACCACGAAGGAGCAGATCTGAGAACATAGGCAATGAAAGGAAATACACATAAAAGGAGATAATCAACATCATCAACAGCAATACATCAGCCATTTGAACTGATGCTTCACTGCCATACAAACATAACGAGCTACGGAACGAATAATAATAAGAGAGAAGCGGGACTTATCGGAAAACCATAATGCCCTAAGCAAGCATACAGGGTCAGAGAGCCTACACCTTGTCCACAACACACCATCACAGACAGCTGGCTATTGTGCAAAAATAAGGCGGTATCGGTGAGACAGCTTCCTTGCGGCTTTCACTGCCACGCGTCATAATCAGCCATTACCCCGCAGATAACTCAGCACCAAACACACTTGGAACAGACAATCGGACTAGGAGACGACAGCAGATGCAACACTGGTGCCGACTGTGAGCAATGTCCTGTAAAGTATTGAGCAAAGCACAAGGACAGCCACGTGAACTCCAGCCTAAAAGGCGAAACGGACCAACGGCGTCAAGTTTGATCGTCAGTGACTTCATTTCTCGCTGCCAACTCAACCGTTGTCCACCATGAGCTTTGAACCACCCTACAACTGACAGACAAAACAAGGCCGTTCTCGGTAAGTGGCGACAGGACATATGTAGTACGTACCAAAGCTAACGCAACTTGATCAGTTTTATCCGTCGTTTTAAGGAACTAGTTTGAGTATCACTGCCTAGCACTCGTTTACGCACATCGTCGTTGCAGACACGCTCGTGCCACCCGACAACAGTAATGCACCGCAAATAGCGATCATCAAAGACTTGGAGGGAGTTAGATCTTCGAAGACCGAAGGGGCTGTCTCACTCCCATATAGAACAGCCCTCACTGTGGCCTTGTAAACAAGGCTTTTTAGGGGGAGGGAAACCCGGTTCTTCCGCCGAAGATGTCACAGATTCAAAAAGGCAGTTATGACTTTTGCAATAAGTGAACTGAAATCAGTAGCTATATACCCATCGTTGCTGATACAGCTGCCAAAGTAAGTGTACTGATCAACTACCTCGAATTCCTTGCTATCTAGAGTCAAGGAATCATCAAGTAGCTGGTGGTCCTGCAGCAACACTTTGAACGCTGAAAGTGTAAAGCGCATACCAAATAACGGAACCACTCGACACAGGTCATTCAGGCTTGATTGCGCCGCCCCAAAGTCGTTTAAAAGCAAGACAATGTCGTCCGCATAATCAAGACCAACTAGCTTTCCACCAGGCAGCAGCTTAACACCTGCATCGTGAGAATCCGCAAGGAAAAACTTCATTATGTAGTCCAAGGCGAAAGTAAGCAAAAATGGGGAAATTGGACAACCCTGACGAACGCCACATATTGTCGGAAAGACAACCGAGAAATCGTCGTAGACCCTGACGCGGCCTGTAGTGTTGAAATAGATAAAAAAGAAGGATGCACAAAATGGCAATGTGATTCATCTATTTCGCAGCCGGAAAGAGGAGAACCAGTTTAAAATGGAACACGAGAATTCTAGAACAGCTATGTAAACCATGATTCCATTCACCATTTGTTGTCTTACGTCGCGAGATCTTAGCCAATAAAAGTACAGAGTCAACAGACACATCCACCCCTGTTAGAATGAACATCAATGAGGAGGAAGGGTACAGTATTTTCACCAGCTGCCGGACAACACAAAGCTCAACAAGCGCTTCAGAATAGCGTCTACCGGAATAATCAATGAGCGGGGCCACATGAATCGCTACAATGTCTATTGAATCGAAAATCCAAGAAAAAGGAGTGGTTCACTCTTATTAAAAAGTAGACAAGAGTGAGCTTACCGAATACAAGTTCAGGTGACCTACCGTTAAACAAGAACATGTTAGGTTCAGTTCGCTATACAGGGACCCGAAAGTCGAAATGCCTTTCATAGCATCGTCAATGCTGAGAAGAAACAAAACTGTAAATGAGATGAATAAAACATATAAAAACAAAAGGGAAAATCAAAATGGGTTCAAGGCAAGCCAGAAAGAACCAAGGTAAGATAATGTGGTTCTAAAAAAGCAGGCTAGACAACACATAACGTCCACGTGTCTGAAAATCTGGATAAGCATCATGAAGCTTGTCACCAAACACCAAGCGGCGGATCTCCGTATTGCGCCCTCAGATGACATGTCAGTCGCAGACTACGCTACTTCAAAGTTAGTAATCAAAAACGACCGATCTAGTGTCATTAGAGCATAATAGCCGTCTCTGATCCACACAGAGACACGGGAGGTAATGCAGCGTTAGATAATCTATCCTTCCCCGATGAACTAGCACTACGACAATTTAACAGATGATTAAAGGTTTGAACAACAATAGTCTGATCAATCCGCGAAGAAACCTCCGCGGTACCTTGAGTGACTCGTGGGATAGAGGTGCCGACCTAAGCGAACGGGTAGACCATTCACAGTTACTGCTCAGTGATGGCAAGAACAGACAGTCGGTTCAGTCGCACAAAAACCCTGCAAATTTGAAAGTGCGACGTACCTACCGAAACGCAGCGTATTGCATCGATGTAGTTCAGTAGATAAAACAAAAAGACACCAAGAACATAGTAGTAGTAGTATAGACAGCAGTCTAGCAAATAGACATAGAGCCAAACATAGACGGAAATCACTGAAAGAAGACAGGTTTAATACGCCGTACCACAGTCATGGCACAGTAACTGAAGATGACCAACATACTACAGCTATTGTGACGAAATAAAAAAGGAGCTTTTTATTATTGTGCACACGCCATTTTTAATTGTTTATCGTTAAGCAGTAAGTATCCAAATCTAAGCAATTATGTACATAGATCCTCCCCACTGGTTCCGATTACGAGCCATATCCTGAACTGTTTCCCACCATCGGCACTCCTCGTCCTTTGGTCCAAAACCAGGCAGACGTGTGAATCCAATAGTGGAAAGACGTGAAGTCAACGATTTCATTTGCTGTCGTCAGGTGGATGGTTGATCATCACGTGGTCACTTCCAGTCGAGTTCTGCACGAGCAAGCAGCGCGATAGGGCAAACGCTCAGCTGACATGTGCAGGACGTGACCGAGCCATTTTAACTGGTGCAACAAAACCAGCTTGTTGAAGAGAATACTCGCATTCCATAAGACACGACCTGATTTCATTATTGCAGATTTTGTTGCCACCACACACGAGCCATTCTCCTCAAGCACCCGTTGTCGAAGGTCGAGAGCCGGTGCATGTCGTCTACACGAACTTGCCATGACTCGATTCTATTTAGCAACACCGTCCGAATGGTAGCATTGTAAACACGACGCTTTACCAAGGAGATATCCCGACGAGGCCACAGGTGCTGCAGATTGACAAACGCCAACGGAGCTTTGGCGACGCGAAGAGAAACTTCCTTGCCAATGGTACCACCAGCAGACATACAGCTGCCTAGGTAGACAAAGCTATCCAGTTGTTCAAGCTGTGTAGCTTCAATATTGAGCACGGGAACGGTTGAGAGTCAATCCTGAAGCATCATTTTACACTTTGACGGGACAAAGCACATTCCGTACTTAGATGTCTCAATCGCCAAACGGTCTAGAATGGTTTGCATGCTCCGTTAGTCCTTATCAAGTAAGGCGATAGTAACGGCATAATCTAAATCAGTTGTTCGCTTACCCGGTAATAGTTGTATATCGAAATTTTGGTAACCGTCTAGAGCTCTCGACAGGACGTCTTCAATTACGAAATTGAAGAGAAACAGGGACATAGGACAGCCTTGTCGTACACCGCTATTGACAGGGAAGGATAACGAAAGCCAGCCATACACCATCACTCTGCCGGAGATGTGGAAATACAGTGCGTGTAAGATGGCAGTGTACTTTTCTGGGACAACGTTAGCATACAAAGCCACAGTGCAGATCGAGCAACCGAGTCGAATGCGGCACAGATGTGCAGGAATGCAACGATGGTAGGTCTCTGGTAATGGCCAGTGTTCCAGGGTTTGACGGAGTGTGAATATCTGATCCACACACCTGCGGCTAGGTCTGAAGCCAGCTTATTCTTCTCGGTACTGCGATTCGCGAATAAGCGATAGTCCATGGAGTAGAATGGATGTCAATAGCTTGAAGGCAACCGAAATGAGACTAATCACCCGGTGATTGGTACATGCAGTGCGAGCAGTCTTAAAAATCGGGACAATAATTGACTCATCCCAGGAAGAAGGCACCTTTTCATCATACCAGATTTTGGAGAACAATGAGGTTAGTTGGCTAATGATAACTGAGCCTCCATACTTGAACAGCTCCGTAGGAAGTCCGTCTGAGCCGGCAGCATTGAATCACCTTAGGTGTCAAATCGCAAGACAAACTTCCGCTTCGCTAGGCGGGTTAAGTGTGACGACCCAGGGCGGACAGCTGGGTTCGCAGAAAATATAAGAGGACGGTGAGGGCCACTTGAACTTGGAATGAAAATGTTCGGCCCATCGGTCCAAGCGTGTCTGTAACTTGGCAATTGGCGAACAAACCGCTTCGCAGATAGTCTCATTGACACCAGGCTTTCTGTGGCTCGTGCATCGAATGAGTTGGAAGAGCTTGCCAGTATTGCCAGATAGGGTACCGGCCTCCATTTCTGAAGCACGCTGGAATCACCAGACTTCACGGTTACTGTGTAGGCAATTTTTGAGCTGCAGACTGACAAAATGGCGCATTTCATCATGATTAGACTCTGCTGGGATATTCCTGCGACGGTCAAATAGATCCAAAGAGCGCGTAGAAATCTAGGCCTTCACAGGGTGTTGTGTAAGACCACAGACTTGCTGCCCTGAAATGATTATGAGCCTTCGCATGAACGTTCAATGTTCATCAATATCTTGCGGTGGGTCGCAGCCGAGTACACCAGCCAGGAGAGTTTGGTAGTTCTGCTGAACCGAAACAATAGATAGCTTAGTTGTGTCTACCTTACAGTGTTTCATTTTTGGGACCCTCCGAAATTCATGCAGATGTTCTCACAGATAAGAGCATGGTCTGAGTAAAAAAACCGGACCAGATGGATCTGCAATCCTTTATACTACCCCTCCATTTAAAACTAATTACGATATGATCAATCCGAGACCATCATTGAGATGCAGGGGGGGCGCCAAGTAGCGGAAGGTCTCGAATGCGGAAAGTTCGTGCTCAAGAGAAACATATGCTTATCTTCATGAAGTGTGAAATGTCCCTCTCCATTATCTGAGCGGCTCTCATCGAGGATATGGTGACCACTGAGGTGACTTTCGTAGGATAACAGACGACCGACCCGTGCGTTGAGATTCCCAGCAACGACAACGGTATCGGAGTTGCAGGCTCTGTACAAGATGTGAAGCTCACAGTAGAAATCGTCCGTGATGGAGTGGGAACTGCAGTCAGTAGGAGCGTAAGCTGAGATCTCAAACAATCTGCGTCTCTCCTCAAGACATCCGTTAACCTTACATGATCGAACGTGAGATCGGACTGTTGAAGTTGAACAAATCCGCGGGACCAGATGATCTTCCTCCAGCCCTCTTCAAATTTGGAGGCTCTGCTCTTGTTGATGCTTTGCATGAATTACTAGTGAAACTGTGGGAGCAGGAGATTGTCCCAACTGACTGGAGTCGCTCCGTTATTGTTCCCATCTTCAAAGGCGGCTCGCGCTCGGAATGCGGCAACCATAGAGGAATCAGTCTGATCTCCATCGCCTCCAAATTACTCGCGTCCATAATTCTCCACAGACTGACTGGCGCTCGTGAAAGCCAGATTCGTGAGGAGCAAGCCGGGTTTCGTCGGGGTCGTGGCTGCATCGACCACATCTTCACCTTGCGTCCGTTGTTGGAGCACCGTCACACATATTGGCGGCCCACCGTAGTCGTGTTCCTCGACATCAAAGGTGCCTTCGATTCGGTTGATCGATGTGCCCTTTGGAATTGTCTACTCAGGAAAGGTGTGCCCGAGAAATATGTAAATATTATCCAAGCATTATATGCGCGTAGCACGGGCAGAGTGAGGGCTTACGGCAAGCTGTCGCCACCGTTCAATATCTCCAGCGGTGTGAGACAAGGATGCCCGCTGTCACCTTTCCTATTCAACTTCGCTATTGACGAAGTCATGGAGATTGCATTTACAGGACATGAGTTGGAATTTGTGGAGCTACTCCCAGGAGAACGACTTCTTGACTTAGAGTATGCAGACGACATTGCCCTCGTCTGTGACAGCTCCCAGACGTGTCAAGCCGCGCTGGACAGATTAGCACTGGCTGTCAGTCGCTTCGGGCTTTGCTTTGCACCACCGAAGTGCAAAGCGTTCCTCCAGGATTGGCAGGGTTCGCCCCCTGTGCTGACTCTTGGTGGGGATCAGCTAGAAGTCGTTCAGAAATTCAATTACCTGGGAAGTTGTATCAGCGCCCTTGGGATCGAAGACGAGATCACGAACCGCATAGCGAAAGCTCGAAGTGCTTTTGCTAACCTTCGCCACCTATGGCGACGGCGCGACATTACTCTCGCCCTGAAGGGTAGAGTGTACAATGCAGCGGTACGTTCGACCTTACTGTACGGTTGCGAAACCTGGCCCCTAAGATCGGCGGACATGAAGAGGCTAGTTACGTTCGACCATCGGTGCCTTCGCAGTTTGGCTCACATCTGGTGGGAACACCGCGTGAGTAACGAGCGTGTTCGACGCCTTGTTTACGGCCTGGGAAAAGGGAATGAACCGCTCAGCACCGTCATTTCACTCACCAGGCTCCGATGGCTGGGCCACGTGTTGCGCATGCCAGCCCACCGACTCCCTCGACGTGCGCTGTTTGCTCACCGGGGATGTGGGTGGAAGAAGAGGAGAGGTGGCCAAGCGATGACTTGGTCCAGAGGAATGAAGGCCCTCACTTCGGAGCTGGCCTCAGTTGGAGCTTCACGGCTCCCTGGTTGGGGTCCAAAAGACGGTGAACACGTTTGGCTGGATACACTTGCT